TCTCAATGCTGAAAACCTAAAAGCCTCCTTGAGAAAGCCAAACACAAACATCATAATCTCCACTACCCAGAGAAAGAACAGACCAGACTCAGCGCCCTGTCACTTGGAGGAGTGTCTGCTGGCGAGAGGGCTGCTCTTGGGGACAACGTGGTCCTGCGGGTTGGGGAAAGGCGCCCAGGCACAGACACAGCCCCAGCAAGCACAGGAAGACACTGTAGGAAGACACTGAAGGCCAAGGGCACTCGGGTTGTAAGGGGCTGGCTGCCCCTGCCCCAGCACCATCTCTCGCTGCCCCCAGCAGTTGCCCCACATTCTCATTTGGGGACCCGCTCCCCACCCTGTCCCAGGCCCTCCCAACTGGCATGAACATCTGCCGTGCTTTGGGACAGCAGCCTCTGCATCTCCTCTTGTGGGCCGAGCTCTCCTCGCACCGGTCGCGGGAGAGGTGCTGGTTTCTGCAGCTTGCAACCCAGAGTCCAGGGCTGAGGCTCGGGAGCCAGGCCTTGCCAACAAACAACCTCACTCCCCACCCCCGGCCAAGGAAGGCTCTGAGTTTTTAATTTACAGAAATTGCAACAGTACATGCTGCTTGATACTGGTTTTTATCTACACGGCAAGTGCTGGGGATGCTTCCCCGGGACAATAAATGCCAACTGGTCTTTCCCTCCCCAAAGCACATGCACACAAAACTTTCCTTTTTTTTTTTTTTTTTGGTACCAGGGATCGAACTCGGGTCCTTGTGCTTGCGCAGCAGGCAGCGAAACCACTGAGCTAAATCCCCGGCCCCGCCATATTTTTTTTTTTATAAAAATGAAAACAAGGGGTGTAGCTCTGTGGCAGAGCACTTGCCCAGCAGCATACATGAGGCCTTGCATTCAATCTCCAGTCCCACAAAAAGAGGAAACAATTAATTAATTAAATTTAAAATAAAATCAAATAAACTTTGGAAGAGTGAGACACCCCTTGAGAAAGCTAGAATTTCAGAGGCTGTCTGTGAACTTCGGCTGGGCACTCTGGGTAGAGTAGCTGGAGGCAGATGAGAGGAGCAGACCCCCATCCTGCAGCAGTCAATCAAGACAAGTGGCTGTGTGGTGAGGCCCAGTCCCAGGGTCCCACACACTAACTCCACTCCCCAGAAACACCTCCTGGGGGAGCATCTTTATTATACAGCCCCTAACAGCCCCTAGGGCTCGGCCCCAAAAACTTGACATCCACATCACTGAATGTTCACAACTCTAGGACAGCTATTATCAGCACCATCTCCATTTGATAGATGAGGAAACTGAGGCTCCAGACAGTTTAATGGCAGAAACCTGAGTAGTGATAACTGCCTTGCTGAGTGCTTACTCTGTGCCAGTCATTGTTCTAAGTGCCTTCCATTATACTGACTTACTTCATTCACTTAGCGGCTATTTACTGAGCATGTGCTATGTGCCAAGAGCTGTTTTAGGTGCCTGGAACGCGGTGTTAAGCAAAACAGGAAAAAAAAATGCCTGCCCTCCTGGAGCTGACATTTTAATGAGGGCAGTCAGTGAACAAGAGAAATGGGTAAAATACATGTTCAATCATGTTAAATGTTAAGGAAGAAAGAAAAATACAGGAAGTTATGTACGTGCCTGTGCATGCAAAGAGTTTTGTTAGAGCAGCAGGGAAGGCTTCCTGAGAAGGTATCTTTTGAGAAACCACCAGACGAAGTGAAGAAGCAAGATAGGCCTGCACATGAGAAAAGAGGGAACCGCAAGTGCAAAGGCTGAGGTTGGAAGGTGCTCAGCAAGAAATTTGTCATTCCCATTTTACAGATGAGAAACTAAAGCCCAGAGAACAGAAGTGACCTGCTCAGGCCACACAGCAGCTAAATGGATATGAGGGGACCAGAACCCAGGACTTCTGACGCAAGATCAGATGGTTCCTTCCATTGGGATCCCATGATGAGCAAGTACTGCACACCACACCTGGATTAAGATGCTTGCAAGGCCTGTGTGTCACAGAGTTGTAAGGTGAGGCGTCCTTCCATTCAGGACCAAAGGCAGGCTCAGACATCCCACGTGGACACCTGCAGGCCTGTGGACACTGGCACAAACCTACCCAGGCACACACACAGGGGTACTCATAGGCCTTTCTGTCCCCCGACAGAGTGGGTGAGAGAACAGTGTCACTGAGGGATGTGCAAAGATTAAACTAATAAATAAAGCTGCCCAATCGATGGTTCCTGGAGTAGAGCACCGGGGAGCAAGAAATCGCTTCTCGTGCCGGGAAAACCCAACTCCTCTAAGTTCCACCAAGTCCGTGACCTTGACCAACAGCAACAAGAAAGGCAACCCTAGCTGGGAAGAGAGAGAAGGGTCTCCTATCCACTCCAAGACCTTGTTCCCAGGGGCAACCACTGTTGGCAGCTTCTTAGGAGTCCTTCTGCAAAGGTCTACACCAGAAGCTATTCTAACTTGTACATGCAAAGGACAATTTGTCTGAAGTCACCAGCTTGTAAAAGGCAGTGCTGAGACCTGAAGCCTGCATATCCATCTGATTTCATGGCCCAAGTCCCCAGCCTCTCTGCCACCTATTCCCAAGTCTTTAGTCTGAGGGAGTCTGAGGCCCGGTCCACAGATGGGCAATGTTCTGCTACAAATCATCCCTCGGCCCTGTGGGACCAGGTCCCTGCAGGCTTGGGAAGTAGGCCTTGTCAGGCCAGGCACCAAACTGTCTCCTCATTGGCCATGGACCAGAACTGCCAAATCTGTCCTGTCTGCCCCCTCCAGGCTGGCTCTGGTCAGAGCTCCCATCATCGCCAGCCAGTTAGCTATGGTAGACCCCTTAACGGTCTCCCATACTGGGTCAACCTTTTCCCACGTAAAACTCACCAGCCTCTCCACTGTCCAAACCTCTCCCTAGCTCCCCAGTGCCTGGAGACAAAACCCAGATTCCTGCCCGACCTCATGGGCACCAGCTGGGGGCAGGGGGGGACAGGTGCTATTTGCTCCCTGCTGCCCCGCCTTCCCTGGCTCCCCCGGCCCACAGCTTCCAGAGCCTCCCTTGCTGGCCCTGGCCTCTCCCTCTTTGCTGTTCTCTTCACCCCATGACCTTTCTTGACACCAGTGGGAAGCGGTGCTCTAGTGGTTTCTTCCTCTGGATCTCTTCCTCCCCACACTGACTGTCCACCTTGCCCTTTTTATGACCTGCTCCCCACAACCATCAGAAGCTCCAGGAGGGCAGGAACCTCATCTGTCCCAGTGACAGCTTCATCCCAATTCCTAGCACAATGCCTGGCACATGGTGAGGGCTCAGGTGTTTACCGAATAAATAAAATGACCAGAACCAACACTCCTCTCCCCATCACGTCTACAAATTCAGTGTTTCATTTGCTGATTTCCATGCTGTCGTTCTGAGAATCTCAGAGGACAGGGAAGCAGCCCCCAGCACTCCCGGCCCTTGGCCACCCCTGGTACAGCTTGGGCTCCCTTTGTTTCCTCTCTTTTTTCTTGCTGTTACATTAAGCAAAATTTCTTCATTGGCAAATAAATGCTTTTTCCATCAATAACCACGGATGACTAAATCAAACCTTTAGCTGCTGTTCTTATCTCTTAAACAGACCCATGGATTTCCCAACTAATCAGAAGGGGAATCAAACGCTGCCATTTGAGGTGGGAGATAACCCGGTCAATTTCTGCCAGGAGGAGGGAGCTGGGTGGGAATTTGCGTATGGCCCCCAAAAAACAAACACTCCTGTAAATAAAGCCAGCCTCCATCCTGTCTCCACAATGCAACTCTTATTGAGTGAGTCAGGTGTTTGGCTGATTAAAAATTGATCCATTTCAAAATCTAATCAACAGAATAGGATTCTTTCATACGTTATCAAGAGAGCTGCTGACATCGAAAACCAAACCTGTTATTAACCCATGAACTCCAGTGACCCGCTCCCTGCCGCTCCCAGGGACCGTAAATTATTCAGTGGTCCAGGACCAGGGCTGGTGAGCCTGATGGATTTAGACTGGGGCGGCAGTCCAGGGGTTCAGGTCGATGGCATGGCCCCGCCAGTCCCCGGAGGCTGGGGTTCAAGACCCACAGGGCCTGAGTGTCATGGCTGTGAATATATTACGGGGTCCACCGGGGCCTCGCCTTGGTTGTGCCTTTGACAGAAAGGCCTCTCCCGACTCCCTCATCTGGGCAGGCTGGTTGGCCCGGGCCTTGGGGGACAAAGGGGCTGTGGAAGGATATTTCTAATTCCCAAGTTAATAAATTATTTCCCTTGAACTACAGAAAAGGAAAGAATAAATAAAGACAAGGGGGGCACAGCAGCATTTTGCAAACAAGAAGAGGCAATACGGTCAGTTCAAATATTTTACCTCCTCGTGCATGGAATAGCTCTGTTGCAATGGGACTGTTGAAAACAGCCATCCACTGGCTGTTTACGTGTCTAGCAGGGCCCAGAGGGGCAATGGGCTTTCTCACCAACTTCCAGACTCTTTGACCTTGAATTAAAGCCTCATTAAGAGTCATATCTTATAAAAACAAGAGCAGAATAAATAAAGGATTTTTTTTTTTCATTTTTAAAGGACACTCACATACCCACACCAAAGTTTCCATCCTGCTAAGCAAGCAGGAAACCCAGAGGCAGCTTGGCATGGTGAGTTTAGGGCCTTTATTCAACAGCTGACTTGATTACAAAGAAGAATTGAGGAAGGGAAATAGAAGAGTCTTGGGCAAGGCCAAAGGAGGCTGAGCCATCTTCTAAGTGAAGCAGGAGACTAGGGGAAGCCACTGCCTCTGTGTTCTGAGCTTCTGAGAGACTGGAGGTGTGTAGACGCCTCCCCAGGCTCCTTGGAGCACCTGCTGGGGGAACCAAGGTTCTGTGAGCTGAGTAGACATAGCCTGAATCCCACCTTAGCCAGTCCCTGGCTGTGTGAGTTGGGCTAGTGACTCAACTTCTCTTAGCCTCAGTTTCCTCATCTGTCAAATGGGAATAATAAAGCAGGTGGGCATTTTAAGCTCTCCGGGCCATAGCTACATGGCATGCAGCTCGGGGGAATAACTCAAATGCTCAACACGTGGCACCTGTTGCTGCTGTTCAGGTCTCTGTTATTAGGATGGCAGACGTGCTGTGTTCCTTAGAGGAATTCTTGGTAAAGTTTACTTGAAACTGCTGAGGCCTCTTGCTGTGTGACCTTGGGCGAGACACTTGGCCTCTCTGAGCCCTGGGTTCCTCCTAAATAAGATACAATGAGGCAAAAAGCCCTACCTGCCTAGAGTCTAGAATAATGCCTGGCCTGCAATAAGGACTCATATAAATAAACACTACAAATAAATATACTTGTTCAATGTGTTCTCCTCCAGAAAATGTCAGCACCAGCACAGGCTGCCCAAAGCAAAGGGAAGGTGAATACTACCCTCCCCACACCCTAAGGACTCTGTGTTGCTGGGGGAGGCACCTACCCCACCCCCCGCTAAACCACTTGGACCATTTGACTCTGCCCTGGAGAGCAGCCAGGAAGCCAGAGAGAGGCTGACTCCCCATCCGACACTCTTTTGGATACCAGGAACCCTCTCTTAAATAATAATGTATTCATAAGTCCAGAGCCCACCTATCCTCAAAGCAGAATCACCCTCCACAGGCCCCTTGACCTGACCATATTGATCTGTCTGAGCTGTCATTTCATGGCAGCTCTGCACAGACGGAGTTGGCTTGTCCAGGGCTCAAGGGGTGCCCAGGAGCGGCTGGAGTGAAAGAGAAATGAGATCTGCCCCTTAAGCTAAAGCAGGCAGCTGCTCCAGAGGGAGGCACTGGGGCTGCAGTAGGAGGTCTCTGTCCACCACCCTGGGTCCCACCAGAGGAAGCCAGCAGGGAATGAATGAATGAATGAATGAACAAACCCTACGCTCCTGGGGCTCTGGCCAGACCGGGACAGGATGAGCTGGATCAATCTGGAAGGTCAGCAACCTGGCCCTTGGACAGGCCCAAACCTACCTGGCCAGACCATAGGGTCTCAGGAGGTCTCGAGCCTGGGGCCAAGGGGCACCATGCCTTCCAAAGAGGTAGCCAGACCTGGCCAGTTCCTCAAAGTCAGACAGGTCCTTAGGCTGAGCCAGACCCTCGCTGCAGCCAGCCCTCTGTCTGCTATTTACTTGCTGCCTGTTTTCCTCGTGACAGGCCTTCCAAGAACATCAGATCAATGCAGCAGGTTCTGGTGCCCACAGCTCTCAGCCTTCCTCCCATTGCCAAGGTTCAGCTGCTGCTTCCTGAAAGGCTGGGCAGGGGCTGAGCCACATGAAAGCACAGCCCAGTGTGGGGGTGAGTCCTCAGCCCCCTGTCCCAGCTCAAGGCCTCGGGCAGAGGAGTCCAGGAGAGAATGAACAGAGACACCCACCGTGGAAAGCAGGGTGTGCTCAGGAAGCCTGTCCTGCCCCACATCCAGGGAGCACATCATGAACAGCTGGCAGGTAGGCTGGGAACCCACCCTGAGCCTTGGTTAAGAATTCAGAATCTCAGCCGGGGATTTAGCTCAGTGGTTTCACCGCCTGCCTGGCAAGCAGAAGGACCCGAGTTCGATCCCCGGTACCGAAAACAAAGAATTCAGAATCTCACCCCAGCCTCTGAGGTTGGGTTTCAAGAGACTTAGGAGTGGGGATGAGGAGGGGCCAGGATTCCACACTCTCACAAGCCCTTCGGGTAATTCAAAGGAGAAGCTAAGTTTAAGAAACACAATTTGTGTGTGAAGACTCAGGTTGGAGGGTGCTAATATTTCAGAGTTCAGAAGAGAGAAAGGAATTAAGAGGATTACTAGATAAAATACAAGATGCCTAAACTGTTGGGATAAACAAAATAATTCAGATAATATATTTTTAAAGTATAAGTACAACCCATATATTGCATGGGATAAAATTTTTTATCTGAAATTTAAATTTAACCAGGCATCTTACATTATTATTTTTTTTTATTTGTTCAGTGCAAAACCTGGCAACCCAATCTGAAACATAAACTGTAACTCATCCACAGGACGGAGTCTTACACCGTCACTCAACTGGATACTAATGGTCAGCACAACACTTGCTGTGTGCCAGGCCCTGTTCCTCATCCCCCATGCATGTTAAGGTACTCTTCTGATCCACCAAGTAACTGAGGTAGGCAGTGTTAGTGTCCCTGTTTTACAGATGAGGAGACTGAAACATAGAGAATAGAAGCCACTTAGCCAAAGACACAGAGCTAGAAAGATGTACAGCCAGGTACTAAACTGAGGAAGTCAGATCTCTGAGATAAATATAGACTTAATTCCCTTCATTGCTCCCTAATCAAAGAAGAAATGATAAAATATAAAAGACGAGGCCATGCAAATTAGTGTGAGGTAGGATAATATTTAAAGTATGACGCTATTCCACAAATATTATATATAAATGTATTTATAGGTCACACAGAGCTTGAGGAGGTGGTACAACCACTTTGGACAGACACTTGACAGCAGCTATACTAAAGGTTGGCACACACCTGGCCAGACCCCATGTCCTCAATATAGTCCTCAATATAGACAACTCCTCAACTAGGGACAGTCCTACCCCTGGAGACATTTCTGATTGTCCCAACATGGGGGAATGCATACATAATTCTAGTGGGTAGACACCCTACAATGCCCAGGGAAGCTCCTATAACAAAGAATTACCAACCTCCAAATAACAACAGTGTCAAGATTGAGGAATTTAGATCTATCCTCCAGAAACCTATGTGTCCCTGTGCATCAGAAGACACTCATGTACCAATGTTCCTAAAAGCACTGTTGGTAGGAACCCCAGACTAAAAGCCACTCCAATGCCCAACAGGAAAACGGAAGAACAAATAGGGGAACACAGGACTCACACCACAGAATGCTGGCCAGCAATACCACATAACACAGGTGAATCTCAAGAATACAATGTTGAAAGAAGCCAGACAAACCAAGAAGCACCGGATGGCTCCCAACAGGCAAAACTGATCTGGGCTGTAAGAAGTTAGCACGCAATCATCCTTGGGGTGAGGTGGCTGGAAACCATGGGAAGGGAACGAAGGGTGTTCAGATGGGCCAGGGAGGTTCAGTTGTGACAATTAGTCAAGCTGAACATACACTGATCTGTGCCCTTCTCTGTATGCTTATTACATGTTGACAAAAGGTCTAAAGAAACTGGTATTTATCTCAGAAGTAGATTTCTGTTTTCTTTTTATCTGTTCTTTCTATAATTGCCACACCAAACATACTTTATTTTTCAATGAATGAATAAGATGACAACAAATGCAGTTACTCATTCATCAAAATTGTGCAGTGCAGGACACTGGAGGGCGGGAGTGTCCCTGCCCTGAAGGAGCTCATAGTCTTGGTGGGGCTGAGGAAAGGATGTGAGTACAACCAGCATCTGTAAACAAGCAGGCACAAGGCCATGGCCAGCCAGCATCTGGGTATTTCATCTACCCAGCAGGGCCAGCTCTCCCCTGTTGTATGTGTGCACAAACACACACACACACAAACACACACACACACATTTCCTTCAGCTTTACCTAGAGTCAAATCCATCATTAATGTTACTTGCCTGTCCCTGTGCTTCTGAGAGACTCTCTGAATTAGATACTGTAATAAGCACTGTCTTGTAAAAGAAAGATGGATGAAGAGCTAAAACAGAGGGAGCAAAACTGTAGGGGGGGGCCTGGGGGATTGTGCTCTTGACAGGAATACACATATGTGGTTAATTTGCCACTCTATAAATAAAGCAAAGCTAAACCTAAGAAAACAGGAGGTGTAATCTAAATATACATGAATATTTAAATTTAAAAATTTTATTATAATAAAAGACACATTACTATTAATGCCCCTCAAAATACTCCCCCTCACTTCAAACATACTTATTCCATTATTTTTGCCACTTTCTGAAGCAGTTCTGGAAATCCTCTTTTGTGTCTTTGCAAGGTATCATCAAAAATAAGTGAATGAAAAAAAAAGTGAATGTGCTTGCGATGTGCCATCTAATGGAAAGGCAGGGTCATAAAAACATTATAGTGTGTCCTCATTGACCTTATTCACTGAATCTGGCACCATGTGACTTCTGGTTCTTCCCCAAAGTCAAAATGACCATGAAAGGTAAACATTTTGAGTTGATTCAGAACATCAAGGCAGCCACAATGGTGCAACTAAAGGCACTCACAAAGGAGGGCTCCAGACCTGCTTCAGCCAGTGGCAAGAATGATGGAATAATTCTAGTGGTGATGTGTCTTTTATCATCATAATAAAGTTTTTAAATTTAATGTTCATCAGGTATTTTGATCACACTTCATGTGTACAGGATCTATATGAGGAAAACTACAAAAATGATGAACAAAAGAACTACATAGATGGAGAAATAGCCCATGTTCATGGATAGAAAGAATCAATATTGTCAAGATGTTGGTTCTTTCCAACTAGATGCAGTTCTAAGTAAAATCCCAGCAAGCTATTTGTTGGATATGGACAAGCTGATTCTAAAGTTTATATGAAAAGACAAAAGACATAGAATACTCAATATAAAAGGGAAAGAGAAGAACAGAGTCTAGGGCGGACACCACCAAACTTTAAGACTTATTACTATAGTAATGAAGTCAGTATGATATTGGAGAAAGAACAGACAAATAGATCAATGGAACAAAACAGAGAGCCCAGAAAAACAGATCTTCATAAACATAATTAACTGATCTTTGACAAAAGAGCAAAGACAACACAAAAGAGCAAAAATATTTTACTTTTTAGTAAACAGTGCTAGAACTGGACATCCATATGGAAAAACACTGATCTAGACACAGTCTTTTTGCTTTTTACAAAAATTAACTAAAAATGGATATAGACCTAAGTGTAAAATGCAAAACTTTTATCAAATTCCTAGAAGATAACATAGGAGAAAGCCTACAATAACCTTGGACATGGTGATGACATTTTAAACACAGTACCAAAGACATCATCTATGAAAGAACTGACTTCATTAAAATGAAAACAAAAAACTAAAGACAACATCAAGAGAAGACCGGAAGAAAATATTTGCAAAAGACACATCTGATAAAAGACTTTTATCCAAAATATACAAAGAATTCTCAATACTTAACAATAAGAAAATTTTCTGATTTAAAAATGGTTCACTGACCTTAAAAAGTAGATGTACAGCATAGACAAACAAGCATATGAGAAGATACTCCACATCATGTCATCAGGAAGACATAAATTAAAACAATGGGATACCATGACACACCTGTAAATTAGAATGGCCCAAATCCAGAACACTGACAACACCAAGTGCTGGTGAAGACATGGAACAACAGGAACTTCAGTCATTGTTGGTAGGAGTGCAGAATGCTATAGCCCTTTGGAAGACAGTGTAGCAGGCTCTATCAAAACTAAACATACTTGGGCCAGGGATTTAGCTCAGTGGTTCCACCGCCTGCTTTGCAAGTCCAAGGTCCCAAGTTCGATCCCAGGTACCAAAAAAAACCCTAAACATACTCTTACCATATGATCCAGCAATTATGCTCCCTAGCATTTGTCCAAAGGAGTTGAACACTTATGTTCACACAAATACCTGCACATAGATATGCATAGCAAAACTTGGAATTAACTAAGATGTCCTTCAGAAGGTGAATAGAAAAAGAAACTGTGGTACATCCAGATAATGGAATTTCATTCAAAGAAATGAACTATCAATGGGAGGGGGGCACACACATGACAAAGTGAAAAGCCAGTCTGAAAGGCTTCCATGGTATGATCCCAAGTATATCGCATTCTGGAAAGGACAAAGTTTTGGGACAGTAAAACAATGAATGACTGCCAGGCACTGAGGGGTGGAGGGTGTGGATAACTGGAGCACAGAGGATTTTAAGACAGTGAAGCTACCCTGTGTGATACTGAAATGGTGGACATGTATCATTTTACACTTGCCCAACTCATAGACTACTTGATGCTAAGGGCCAACCCTAACACAAACCACAGACTCTAGGTGATTATGATGCATCCTGTAAGTTCATCAGTCCATACAGATGCATCAATTTGATAATGCTGTGAACCTAAAACTGCTCCAAAGAAGAAATACAGTCTTTTAAAAAAGAAAAGAACTTCCAGACATGTCAACAGGAGCCCTACTACTTATGTGGGGCTCCATGCATACATGCAGCACCTACTTGAGCAGGTGCCTTCCCATCACTCTCTGGGTAGCTGAGATTCTGTTTCTGGGTTCCTCCAAGACAGGAGAGGAGGGGTGAGGAACCAGAGACCTACAAACTCCTTGCAAGACCAACAGGCACAGTGTGGAAGTATGTGCCTAGGCTTAGCTGGGCCTCAGTCTGGGAAGGAAGGTAAAGAGTCCCCAGGCAGGCATCCTCCATGAAGAGACCAGCCCTCTCCTCCCTTCCACACAGGTGCCAAGGAAACGGGGTGATAGAGACATCAAAATCCCACCTTCGGGGTCCTGCAGGGACTGAAGTCTATGCAGGGGTTGTCTACTACCTTCGGATGGTGACTTTCTTTTGGTACAGGCCGAATTGTGTCTACCAGTTTCTATACTGAGGTCTTGAGCCCCAGTGCTTCAGAATGTGACCATTTTTAGAGATAAGACCTTTAAAGAGATATTTAAGGTAAAAATGAGAACATTACAGTGGGCCTTGATCCAGTCTGACTGGTGTCCTCACAAGAAGAGGAGAGAAATACACAGACGTATACAGAAGGAACAGAAGACACAGAAAAATGACGGTTATCTACAAGCTGAAGAGGGATGCCTTAAAACCATGTTGGTTCCTTGATCTGACTTCCAACCTCTGAATTATGAGAAAACACACACACACACACAGACACAGACACACACACACACACACACACACACACATCAATGTTTTCTTCATGGTTGGCCTTGGGCAGGGGGTTGAGACCTACAGAGAAGTGATGCCCTAGGCTGGGTGATGCCTAAGGGCCAACCCACCAGATGACTAGGAGCCCACCAGATAGACCAAGTATGGAAAGCTGCTGTGAACAGGGAGAATCACTCGGAACAGGGGGAATAATGCTGCCCTCTGGAAGCTGTGCTATTTCAACATAGTAGATCTGGTAATGAGCCACAAGGGAGAGTCAGCCAAGGTGAAACTGGACAGGTGAGCAGCAGCTACAATGTACTAGGTGTCAGGCGCCTATTTATCTTCACTAAGCCCAACAACTCCATTCTGCAGATAGGAAAATTAAGGCTCAGAGGTGATGGCATTGGTTTAGTGCATATGGCAGAGCTGGGATTTGAACCCAGACAGAGTCTGACTCCAGAGCCACACTCTTCACCCTGAGATTTCCCCTCCTCTCCCATAGGAGAGCCATAGGGCAGGCACTAGAGCACCCTGTCTCCTCTCACAGGTCTGCCTGCAGCTGCTGGCCTGGTCCTCAGCAGGCTCAGCAGTCAGAAAAGGAGGGAGCAGAGTTGAACTGGGAGAGCAGAGCAGGTGAGCTACAAAGCCAGTGCTGCAGGGCCCTGCTGGGAACAGCGGCAAACACCAGCTGCTCCAGCCAGCCTCGCCTTTCATCTCTGCAGAAAATGGATGCTGCTCTGGGTCCCCTGAGAGCTCAAAGTTTGGGCTGAAGGCTTTCTGGAAAAAAAGCTCACTGTTGCAGGCATCTCCACAGTCACCCTGGGTGATGCCTGACACTTCACCGCAGCACTGGCTGACAAGCATCTTCAAAGGACAGAAATCGGCCGGCTTGCTGGCTTTTATACAGTTGTCATTCATCCACAGGAAGCACTTTTCCCCGCGCATTGTGAGAGTTATTTTGGTTTGAGGAAGCCAACCTCAGTACAAATCCAAGAAAGAAATAAAAGAGGGGGGGGAGCAACTCCGCCAAAATTAGAAAAAGTGGTGTGTGGGTAAACTGCACACAAAACAATCTTTTTCAAGATGATCTTTTTTTGAGATCAAAGATAATGGTGGGAGAATTGTGCTGAGAACATCAGCAGGTGCAGCAGGCTGCAGGGGGCATGGAGAACTTTGCAGGTGTCTGCAGGCCACTTTTAATAAGCGGGCAGAATCCATGGCCAATGTGCCAGACTTGCTGGGCTACGGTACGACAGAGAAAGAAGATGGATGACTTCTGCTAGGGAGTCTCAAGTGGCTTCTGTGGGAACTTATTTCTCAGGTGGATTCTGATATGAACACAGCCAAGTCACTGACCAAAGGTTCCTACAGAGAGAGGAAGTTTCAAATCCTTAGGGAAGTGGGCTTCCGCCATGGCTCCATCCTGGCATACAG